CACTTTTTAAAGCATTTTTTTACTTGTTTCTGGCGAATAGGTAGGAACAAATGCTTTAAAAAGTTTTTAAAAAGTTGGTTCCCATGATCGCGTGGATCAGCTGTGAACCCCGTGATTGTCGGATACTCTTCGTTTCACTTTTTAAAGCATTTTTTCCTACCTATTCGCCCGAACTGGCTGGAAGAAAACGCTTTAAAAAGTGGGGGAAAGTTGGCCCCACCCACCTGGTCACATGACATCCCCCCAAGCCACGCCCACAGAATTAATTTCGTTGTACGAGGTGCAATGACAATAAAGTAAACTTAATGTGAACGGAGGCATTCGGACCATCAATTTTCATAGTTTATGAATTTACCCGTCATTTTCAGATTTAATCTCTGGAAAAGACCAGACTAAAATTCAGTCTGACATTCAGGCTAAAATCCTATTAGCAGTTCATCTACCTTTACAGAACCTGGTCACTAAAAACCTCTATTTAACTTCCATCAGGATAGTTGTCAGTTGTTTCAGGAGCTAAACGGGCCCCTTGCTAACTTCCTCCCTTTCCACCCAGTCGCTCATGGGGCCGCACGTCCTCTTCATGCACGCGCGCTACACACGGATGCGCAATCCACCACCCCTGCGACACCCAGCTGCTTTTGGGGGCTCACGCAGGCACCGCACGCTGTGCACACATGTACAATTGGCCCAGTGTTGGGTTCCGGATCCCGTTCCAACCGGTACAGTTGTTCCAACCGGTACGGTATGGTTGGAACGCGCCCGACGGCATCCACATGGATGCACGTAGCACGTGCATGCGTCTTAGCGCCTCCGCAAGCCTCCACAACGCTCCAGCTGCTCAGCAGAGCATCGCGCAGGTGTTGTATGCGCCATGCATGTGCGCGGAAGCGCCGAAGACTTAAATGACTGGTAAGGAGCTCGGGCGGGCAGGTGGGCCCTCCGAAGCACCATACCGGTATGGTATCTGGTGCTCCAGGCAGGCTCCAGTACGCCCGTACCGGGGCGTACCTCCTGCAACCCACCACTGAATTGGCCGGTTGCTTAAAAACAGGTATAGAATGCAGGCGGGTGGGTGGGCGAAGTGAGCTACCGTACCGGTACGCTGTCAGCTGCTCCCGGATACTACCGGTACGACCATACCGTACCATATCTGGAGGAATCCACCACTGCTTCCCACCCTATTGGACTGCAACTCCCATCATTCCCTAGCACGTGAGCCAGGAACAATGGAAGCTGTAGTGCCAGGCTTGTGTATTCTCATCTACACTTCAGCAATGTTGGACACAAGAACTCCACAAGGGGATGAAGCTAAATCTTGACTCGTCCTTTCTGTTGTCAGAAGAAAAATGGGTATTTTTTTTAACGCAAGGATAAATTAGGAGACAATGGCAAAGATTTTGTTTCCCTTGTAATCGTGCACGGAAGTTAGGAACATCGTGATTAAATACATTATCCACCGCGGTGGAATTCAGCTGGTGGCCTTGCCATCACATCCGAGAGCAATTAAGGCCAAGGTTTTAATTTATGCATATATTTTTTTTTAGTTCTGGTATGGATGAGATCAAGGGGAATAGCCACCCACTCGACCCCAGACCCAGGCTGTTTCTTTCGGATTAAAATTCATACTTGTGGCAGTTAGGTGGCCTTGAATTACTTGTTCCTTTTGTTAAAGAGGGAACAGCTGCAATATTTTCCGTTATCTCTAAGCCAGAAACTTTGGGGTCTCTGACCAAACTTGGTTTTTGTGTGGTTTGCCAGGATTTATGCTTCAAAAAATGAGACGAAGAATGGGAGGGGAGAAACGCAAGCCAATGTTATCTTTAATTGAAAGGTAGGCAAATTGAACCAGCGCATTCAACTACTGATAGCGATGGCATTACAACCTCAATTGAGTCCGAAATTTCTATTGTTAAGTGAGGCAGTTGCTAAGTGGGTTTTGCTCCCTTTCTTGCCACAGTTGTTTAAGGAGCCACTTCAGTTGTTAAGTTATTGACACGCTTGTTCGGTGAATCTGGCTTCCTCCTGGACTTGTCAGATGTTTGCAAAAATAAGATCACGTAACACCGGGATATTGCAACCGACAGAAATGCACGCCGGTTGCCAAGCCTTTGAATTTTGATCACATCACCATGGGGATGCTGCAATGGTCACAAATGCAAAAAAACTGTCACTAAGTGAATTGTTGTTAGTCAAAGGCTACCTCGATCAGGGCTGTCAAACTCCAGGTTTGGGGGCTGGATGCGTCACACGCTGACCGTGGCCACACCCAGTTTAGCAAAAGGGGAAGAAAGTCCCAATACGTCACGTGATGACATGAGTTTGATACCCCAACCGAGATTCTGAAAAATATCTCCCTTAGTTTAGTTTAGTTTAGTTTAGTTTAGTTTATTTGTCTTGTATCCCGCTCACTCCCGAAGGACTCCAGGCGGCTCACAATAGACAGGGGAAGGGGGATAAATAGACAAAGACAACACTTTAAAAACGCCACATTCACAATTTCCGTGGGGCTGGATGTTTTACAAGCCCCCCGGCCTGCTGGAGCAGCCAGAACTTGGTGGCTTTGCGGAAGGCCGGGAAGGTAGTAAGGGTCTGGATCTCGACAGGGAGCTCGTTCCAGAGGGCTGGAGCTG